AACTGAGCATAACAAAATAAAAATATGCCAGTCGGACATACTAATACTTATATATCCCAAAAAACAAGCTCAAGTAAATATCAAACCAAACTGCTTATTAGGTTTGATCAACGCAACAACTTGTGGGGATTGGATCATGAAGTAGAAAGCTTACGTAACGAGTAATCGTCTTCGCACCACACAAAATGGAAATACAGACTCGCAAGACTTTCTGGATAGAGTCTCTTTCTTGACTCCGGGGGAATACAGACTACTCTGATACGGATTGAGTCTATATATATCCATACCACAATCTGCAATAATATTCTCATATGTCTTTTCGGAAGGGAAATAGTGCAATCCCTAGCTTCTGCGATATAACCCTATTAATAGGCCTAACGGGAGTCGTCGGCACATTCTCAATGGCAACGAACGCCTCCCAATCATTAGAACTTTTTTTCCTATATCCAGACTCGAATTCTTCTCTCTTTGTCTCATATATTGTTGCAGTACACACACAGGCAGCCTCTCAAACGACCGAGGCTAAATTCGTCACAATCTCCCAGTTGTTCAGGCTTCCGCAACACCACGAGCTCGTTTGTTCTCAGATCGAACCGCGCCTTGTCGAAACAAAAGAGCCAATAGAGAGCTCAGTCAGCGAATACTCCCGAACAGCCAACAGAATCGTAGCTTTGACTTTCTTCGAATTCGGTCCAAGAATCATTATTACACAAAAGATTGAGTAAGAACTCCCATTCATGACAACGACCTTGAAATCATCCGTTGTTGGATCGTAACACAACCCGTAATTAACTATAGAACCGTATGGGTCATCGAAACATCTCACTCTCCGAGTCAACGAAATTCACAGTGCGTAGTAATTGCTGTTGTTTACGCCCGAATAGTCCCTCAAGAGTAGCATACCGTAGCATTCGCACAAAATAATAATGGTTCCACTAAGGTTTTCCGATACTCGATCGGCGTGGAGTTTTCCACCTTCCAATTTATACAAAGAAAACCCTCTTTAAATATCTCTCCTTATTCAGTTAAGAAGAGATTATCATAATTATTCGGAGACTTGTTCGAGGAATCGAGATAAATATGGGTAAATACGGGATCTGAGATCATAGTATCCCATGACATACAAACTATTTTCAATCAAAGTGGAGACTTAACCGGTAATTTTAACAGTACGATTTCGATTATCTCTAGTGGAAGATGATTTGATGATGACGGTTTCACTTCGGTATTAACTGCCATGTCTATTTTCAATTTAGGGTTTCAAAGGAGGGTTTCCATAAGCATTGTTACTTTCCTATTGGCATTAGCATTGAGTAGTTCATCTCCTTATGGAATTAGCTTGTGGTAAGCATTCTTACTTTACTTTTGGCGTTAGCTTCGAGCTAAGCATTCTTCTTCTTTTTATTCAATGAGATTTTTCCAAGCATTCGCATTTTCCTTTTGCCATGAGCTTCGAGCTAAGCATTATAAAATTGATTTTGGAATTAGCTTTGAGCTAAGCATTGGTCCTCTCCTTATGGAATTAGCTTGTGCTAACCATTCTTACGTTACTTTAGGCATTAACTTAAAGCTAAGTATTAACTTGTGCTATGCATTCTTGGTTTCGTTTTGGGCATTAGCTTCAAGCTATGCATTATTCTTCTCCTTATCGAATTAGCTTGTGCTAACCATTTTTACTTTCATTTTGGCATGATCTTTTAGCTAAGATACTTCTCTTGTTATGGAATTAGCTTTTTCTAAGCATTCTTACATTCCTTTTGGCATTAGCTACGAGCAAAACATTCTTCCTCTTCTTATGGAATTAGTCTTTGCCAATCATTCTTATTTTCCTTTTGGGATTAACATCGAGCTAAGCATTATGTCGTTCCTTTTGGAATTAGCTTTAAGCTAAGCATTGTTCCTCTCCTTATGGAATTAGCTTGTGCTAAGCATTCTTACTTTCGTTTTGTCATACATTCGCGCTAAGCAATCTTCCTCTACCTATGGAATTAGCTTGTACTAAGCATTCTTACTTTCTTTTTTGCATAAGCTTGGAGTTAAAGATTCTTACTTTCCTTTTGGCATTAGTTTGAAGATATGCATTATTCGTCTCCTTATGGAATTAACTTGTGCTTAGAATTATAACATCCTTTTTGTGTTAGCTTTGAGCTAAGCATCCTTCCTCTCTTTAAGGAATTAGCATGTGCTAAGGATTATGTAGTGCTTTTTTAATACAAGATGAGTATTTTTTTTTTCTTAATGAAAACACCGTAATATTTTTTTTAAATGAATAATTATCTAAACTTTATGTCTTTTAGTAGAAAATAAAGAACCAAAACTCATAGGTGCGTCGGAAAATGTGAGGATTCACCAAAATATTCGCCTTAGATTGTTAAGTGAGTCAAACTTAAGGGATTAAGTGAGCTCATGCAATTTTGTATTGGTTTGTTATGGTCTCAAAGTGCAAAGACGGGCCAACATTACGATATAGGGTTATAAAAGTTTAAATTAAAGGTCATAAAATGCTATAAAATTCCACATATGTAGTATACATAAGAACTTGAAAAGATTGTATTCAAACCACTCGTCGATTACTTGTAAGGATGATTCATTCACTTTAAATGCAAGATTCTTGCAAAATATTTTATAAACTAAAATAACGATTTTATTCATCGACATGGGGTTACATATGAGTTTTGGAACACCCTTACATAACATAGGAAAACACAAGTTTTAATCATACTTTTCATCTTCTTGTTATAGAGAATAGATACATAGACTTGACTTCAAACCCATTATATACATAGAACATCGACCTAGTTAACGGATAAGAAGAATAATATACAAATAAAATAAGTAAAACTCTCAAAAATACCAAAAGACAAAAATCTGTCAATTTTTCCAAGTGCAATTGATAAACTCTAGAAAACACTGAGCATAACTGAATAGAAACATACCTGTCAGACATACTAATGCATAAGTAATTATATATCGCACTACAAGAAAAACTAGCTTTAGAGACCAATTTTTCAGTGATGATAAGAAAATGGTCGCTAAATATATACATATAGCCACCAAAAATAATTTGGTTACAATAATCAATTTTCTTAGTTTTTTTGCAGCCAAGTAATATTTGGTAGCTATAAATGATCACTATAATTTGTTGAGGGTTGATTAGTTATATAGTGACCAAATATCTACTTTTCAGCGACCTTTATTTAATGGTCCCTGTAAATAATGTTATTAGTGACCAATTTATTAACAAAATAATTGATGGTTGCTATAATTTTTATAAGTGATCATTAACAACCAATGATTTTGATTGTTAATAATATTTTAATAACAACCATTTCAAAATTTCAAAATTTATTTAAACTAACTAATAAATGAAAAATCCTAATTCCAGAATCGTATATATATATTATATATTGTATATACTGTATATATATGTTCAAACTTGTATTAATGTATTATATATTATAATTATACGTCGATTGAAAACCCCCACCCGTGCAGCTGTATCAGATCCACTCTTCCCTGTTTTACATCCTCCCTCGGTCCATCGCACAATAATCGGCTCAATCGATCTATCACTGTAACACCTCGTATTTTCATTTATTTCAATTTTGATTTCGAGCCTTTATATATATACAAAAAGGGGCAAAACAAAAGAAAAGGCGGAAAAAAATAGGGGAGCCATGAAAGGGGGTTATGAACACACACACATATATATATATATATATATATATATATATATATATATATATATATATATATATATATATATATATATATATATATATTAATTAAATTTGAGTCCTAATTTATATATTTGACATAAATATATATTGTGTGAGATGATCAATGATATTATTTAAGTTTATATAAACAAACAAATAATAAAGAAAATAAAAGAAAAGAATAAAGGCAAGGGATTATGACAGACGTATTCATATCCGCCTTCTCCCAAACTCGTCTCTCACTCTCTCACTATGTCTCTCGTCTACTCGATCTCTCTTTCTGTCTACCGATTCTAGGATGGAATCACATATCACATAAATTGATGGCAAAATCGAATTCTATGAAAGGATTCTTAGTAAATATGTTTAGGTTTGAGGAATTGAGAGATTAAACAAAAAAACCCCAAATTGATTCTTCGAAGAAAGTGCTACAAGGTTTTATCAATGGAGTGTCGACGATTAGGACCAACCGTCATAAAGATTGAGACTTAAGCTTGATGTTAGTGGTGGTTCCCGGCGGTTTTCTCCGACGGTACGTAGTTGTCTGAATCTGGCGAGAAGTCCAGTCTGCTGCTGAGGCTTTAGGAGTCGATTTGAGGTATTTAGACTTCACATTTAAATATCTTTTCTTCACAAAAGTTGTAGAACATATTAGATATTATAGGAATATAGATTTTTCCCCAAATTTAGTCAATTGTAAAAAGCCAATTTTAATTCGACAGTTGTATGGTGAAATTTCCGAAATAATACACCTTATGCTGCACCTGTTTTCGGAATAGAATTTAGGGGGTTTGGAATTAGAACTTGAGATCAGTTTCTTCTTAAAAGTCTAGATTGCATGGAGAAGTTTAAGGATGTTCTAAATTTTGCCCTTTTTAATTGAGTTTTATGGTCTGTTCAAAGGGGGAAACGGGCGTCGCCTCTCGAGCCCCGGTTGGCCTTGTTGCAGCCCACTAAAGCACAAATTCTTCATGAGTTCTCTGGTTTATGGAAATCCCAAATCTTCTAATTACAAATTATGAAATAATGTAAGTTCTCTTTATTTATACCCATTTTAAATTTATTTTATCATTACAAATGACTGAAATTTGAATTCTTAATTGATGAGAAAGTGTGGAGTCATGAGGCTCAAGTGGTTATTCACTCTCAAGTGTCCACTAGTTCTCTTGTCTTGCACTTGATTAATAGGAGATGCGTTGAATAGTTACTCCGGAAGAATAGGATAACATGAGAAACAACACAATTCTTTTGTTTTGTACTTCAATCTTATGCCTGGTAATCCAAAAAATACTATTAAATGCATAAGGTTGTTCAATTCAAGTTTATTTTCCACCCTATAACAGAAATTGACATACAGAAGGTATGTGTTTATATCTTACATACAACTGAAAAATCGAAGTTTACATTTATGCTTGTAATTGTATTGCTCTTCTATAATTAAGTCAGTATATGTAATTGCCTGCCATTGCTGGATATGATTGACAAGTTGTATTGTTTGACATTCCACAAGGTCAGGTAGTGACTTCTCTCAATGGTCATTTAAACAAGGTAAACTGGTGCATCATATGCATATTTGATTTCATATTTCCTTATGATAAATTCATTGGACTTGGTTTCTCATAAACTTGAATCCATGTTTTCATCTCTTATGTAGGTTATAACTTATAAATGCCAAATTTGCAGTTGAGACTAAAGTTTAGTTGGTGGCTCTACTGATAAGGTAAATCCATTCATTACATAAGATTTTCCTTGTTTCTTTTGTTGCTTATATGATCACTACATTGGGAAAACAATTGCATGTATATCTTCTGATTCTTTGTGGCATCCAATTCCAGGCACCCGTAGAAAGGCAGAGGCAGTTGAAGCTAATGACATTACTTCAATCAAGTTCAAGATGTGAATGTTGTCAGCGGTTTTAAGTTCAATATAATCGGCGAGGCAGTGTTTGGTTTCTTTGGTTGCTACTGTATATAGATTGATCACTGATTTAATTCACTTGTCAACAATTAATTAGTTAGGTACTAATATGTAGTAACCAGCTATCAATTCAATTTTTTTTTTCCGTACAATTATTATTTGGTTTTTGTCATTAGTAGCAATAAACAATTGTTTTTCGTTCTTTATTTGATTGTGTTGCAAATAAGAATTATTAATTGTTATTTTTGGTTATTATATGCAAACAATTGGGGTATATTTGTGACAAATTAAAATTTATTGCAACCAAACTATTCATGTAGTTAAATTATTATATTGAGCAACGAATTTATTGGTCGCAACGTGGTCACTAAAATACGTTAGGTTTGTGACCATATAAAATCTATTGTAACCACGTACTCGGTTGTTAAAAGAATATCATTTATCAACCAAAACTATGTGAATACTGTATGTATACCTATAGCAACCATACTGTTATTATAGCGACCATAAATTTTAACATTAGCGAGTAAAAAATTTGTCGCTGATAATTACATCTTTAATGACCATTATTGAATGGTCGCTAGATCTATGTCTTTAGCATCCAACTGATTTGCTGGTCACAAATACTTTTAGTAGCCACCCTGTTGTGACCACAAGTGACCAAGCCTAATTTGGTCGTTATAAGTTTCAGCGACCATTATCTTGCTTTTAGCAACCATAATGAATCGTCCCTAAAACCATTTTTTTTTTGTAGTGATCCAAAAAAAAAAAAGCTCAAGTAAATATCAAACCGAACTGCTTATTAGGTTTAATGTACGCAAGAACTTCTTGGGATTGGACCGTAAAGTAGAGAGCTTACGAAATGAGTAATCGCTTTCGCACCACACAAAACGTAAATACAGACTTGAAATACTTTTTGGATAGAGTATTTGACTTGACATTGGGGAAATAAAGACTACTCCGATACGGAACGAGTCTACATAGATCCATACCACAATCTGCAAAAATTTTCTCATACGTCTTGTCGGAAGGGCAATCGTACAATCCGAAGCTTTTGCGATATAACCTGATTAAAATCTTATTTCCGATAAACTGTAGGAATTAAATAGACCTAACGGGTGTCATCGGCACATTCTCAATGGCAACGAACGCCTCCGAATCATTAGAATTTTTTTCCTTTATCCATACTCAAATTCGTCTCTCGTCGCCTCCAGTATTGTTGTAGAGAGCTCAGTCAGCGAATACTCCTGAACAGCCAATGCAATCGTAGCTTCGACTTTCTTCCACTTTGGTCTAAGAATCGTTACTACACGAAATGATTAAGTAAGAACTCCGATTCATGACAACGACCTTGAAATCATCCGTTATAGGATCGTAACGCAGGCCGTAATTCTTTGTAGAACCGTACGGGTCATCGAAACATCTCTCTCTCCAAGTCAACTGATTCCACAGTGCGTAATTCCTGCTTTTGTTTATGCCCGAAGAGTCTCTCAAGAGTAGCACACCATTACGTTCGCCCAAAATTATAATGGTGCCATAAGGGTTTTCCGATACTCGATCGGCGTGGAGTTTTCCACCTTATAGTTTATAAAAAGAAAACCCTATTTAAATATCTCTCCTTATTCAGTTAGGAAGAGATTATCATAATTATTCGGAGACTTGTTCAAGGAATGGAGATGAATACGGGTAAATACGGGATCGGAGATCATAGTATTCCATGACGTACAAACTGTTTTGAATCAAAGCGGAGACTTAACCGGTAATTTTAACACCACGATTTAAATTTTCTCCAAGGGAAGATGATTTGACGATGATGGGTTCTCTTCGGTATTAACTACCATGTCTTTTTTCAATTTAGGGTTTCAAAGGAGGGTTTGCATAAGCATTGTTACTTTTCTATTGGGATTAGTGGTGAGTTAAGCATAGTTCCTCTCCTTATGGAATCAACTTGTGCTCAGCATTCTTACTTTCCTTTTGGCGTTAGCTTCGAGCTAAGCATTCTTCTTCTTTTTATTGAATGAGCTTTTATCAAGCATCCATGGCATTAGCTTCGAGCTAAGCATTATTATATTCATTTTTAAATTAGCTTTGAGCTAAGCATTGGTCCTCTCCTTATGGTATTAGCTTTTTCTAACCATTCTTACGTTCCTTTTGGCATTAGCTTTTAGCTAGGAATTCGTACTTTCCTTTTGGCAGTAGCTTAAAGTTAAGTAATATTCCGCTCCTTATGGAATAAGCTTGTGCTATGCATTCTTGGTTTTCCTTTGGGAATTAGCTTCGAGCTAAGCATTCTTCTTCTTCTTCTTATGGAATTAGCCTTTGCCGAGCATTCTTACTTTCCTTTAGGGATTAGCTTCGAGCTAAGCATTATTACTTTGCGTTTGGCATTAGCTTTTAGCTAAGCATTGTTCTTCTACTTATGGAATTAGCTTGTGCTAAGCATTCTTACTTGCCTTTTTGCATTAGCTTGGAGTTAAGGATTCTTACTTTACTTTTGGCATTAGTTTGAAGCTATGCATTATTCGTCTCCTCATGGAATTAACTTGTGCTTAGCATTTGTACATGCTGTTGGCGTTAGCTTTGAGCTAAGCAGCCTTCCTCTCCTTAAGGAATTAGCGTGTGCTAAGCATTCTTACTTTCCTTTTGGCAGTAGCTTTGGGCTAAGCATTCTTATATTCGTTTTGGGATTAGATTTGTGCTTAGCATTCTTCCTCTCCTTATGGAATTAGCTTGTGCTAAGCATTCTTACTTTCCTTTTGGCATTAGCTTTAAGTTAGGCATTCTTACTTTCCTTTTGGCATTAGCTTCGAGCTAAGCATTGTTTCTCTCCTTTTGGAATTAGCTAGTGCTATGAATTCTTACATCCCTTTGCATTATGTTTTAGCTATGCATTCTAACTTTCCTTTAGGCATTAGTTGCATGCTAAGCATTTTTAGTTTCCTATTCGCATTAACTTTGAGCTAAGGATTGTTCCTCTTCTTATGGAATTAGCTTGAGCCAAACATTCTTACTTTCCTTTTGGCATTAGCATTCAGCTAAGAATTCTTACATTCCTTTTGGTATTAACTAAGCATTATTTTTTTCCTTTTTTGCATTGGCTTTGAGCAGAACATTGTTCCTCTCCTTAGGGAATTAGATTGTGCTAAGCATTCTTACTTTCCTTTTAGCATTAGTTTTGAGCTATGCATTCTTACTTTCCTTTTGCCATTAGCTTTGAGATAAGCATTTCTTGGGCTAAATATCGAACACGCAAGTGAACGTATCGCAAACAAGTAGAATTAGTTGACTCGTGATAGTCGGATGTCGATCCCACATGGAATACTCAAATTATTTAATCCTAAGTACCAAATTCTAACAATTATGATTTTTATCCAGCCTAGATAAAGTTATTAAATATAATCAACTTAATAATTAAACTAATTATGAAAGAAAAAAAATCACAAGAAAGTATCCATATAAAAATGGACCAAGGATTTTATCTTCCCCCTATACGATAATTCAATACTCAATTAAACCTCTATCATGCAAGTTACAATTCATGGTTATTAACCCGTGACACTAACTTACTCATAACCCGGTGTCCCGTGTATTATAAGTCTATTATTCATAAACAGTTCACTATATGTCTATGCAAACCAATTATGAATAAAGCATTAACTAACAAGTCTCGTAAACGGCTACCTAAGGTGTTATCTGTATGTCTATGATAACACATGCAATTAACAAACTAATCTGATGAAAACTAGTCGAATGCTCTTCTATCCTTGTTCTAATTATTAAAATGATTTGTCGATTCAATTCTAACAATATCACATAGCAACATAAATTAGACATGTTCATGCAGTAAATAAAATTAGATAGAAGAAATAATTATGGAATTAAACTTGCTTAATATTAGAAAACTAGGGTTAAAATCACCACATAGTGTTCCAAGAAAATCCTAAATTAAAAAATTAGCTACTCATGTTCTCTACGAAAAACATCATAAAAATAAGAATATGCATAAAAGTAGAAAAGAAAAGTAAAAGAAGAATTATGATAAAGATCCGTCAAGTCTTCGTCTTTAATTCTCCATTCTCTCGCTCCTCTTGCTCTAAGATCGTGTAAGAAGTGTTTAATTTGTGCTTGGTCTTTGCCCTTAAATAGATGTCCCAACTTGGTAGAGATTTGGGTTTCCTTGTGTGATTAAAACTCGAAAATTGCTTCCAGCATGTTTTCACACGACCGCGCAAGAATCAGTACAATTCTCACACGGCCGGCTCAAATCCTGAAGCTTTTTGTTCAAATTCAGCAGTTGGCACGGCCGTGCTAGAAATCAGCTATTTGTCACATCGGCATCCTAGGCCAATTTTCAGCCTCCGATTGTTTCTACAGTTTTTTGACCTTTTTGCTCATTTCATCCTTGAAACTCCCGAATCTTTAAATTGCACCTAAAATACAATAAACCACTCATTAAGCACCATTACATCAATAAAAGTATACAAAAATCCTCGTAAGAAAGTATATATTGAGTGTAAAATATACACCCAACACACCCCCAAACTTGAACTTTTGCTTTTCCTCAAGCCAAAGCTAGTAACTTTCAAAGCTACACTTTCAACAAATGCCTCTTATCACATAGATTAGTGTTCAACTTCACGTTTTCAGAACTTGCAATTATCATGATAATTCTCAAAAAATTGCAAACTCGAAGGACTTATTACCTAACTCGATTTGATTAAGAGTTCAAAAGTCTCCACTTTTGCTCTTACCATGCTGGTTCGAGTTTTCTTTTTTCCTTTTTTTTTTTATTTTTGCTTTTTTTTTTACTTAAATATTTTCTCAAGTCCTTTCTTCCCCTTCTTCTCTTCTTCTCTTCCTTTTTTTTCTTTTTTTTTACGTAAAAAATTTTCCAACTATGCTTGAAGGAATAATTTATTAAGAAATCACCATATAATCTACCCACTTTATTTTGGCCAAAATAAAGAACACCGTTTGTCCAAGGCTCAATTAAGGTTCCAATGATAAGAATTTAAAGGTGGGATTGAAAGGCTCAAACGATTCAAAGATTGCCCAAGTCACTTCCCAATTTGTTCAACAATTTAATATTTCACTTTTTAAATTCAAAAGGAATGTTCTAAAACCAAATAGCATATAATAT